GCCGTTGATCGCGGCCCTCGCAGTGAAGCAAGCGGGTCCTGGGGGAAGGCCCCCTGGCTTGAGGACCCACTTGTTTCATGCCAACATGCTCGATCGGGGTCCTCTTGGCCATCGTCGCGCCGTGCTGAGTTGAAGCAAGCAGCACGGATGCGGTTATGACTCTCTTGTTGCGCTGCGATTCGGCCGTTGCCGCGTTTCATCTGGTATGCTCCCACCGCTGCGCCACCAGGACTAGGAGCGAGCATTTGTCACGTCTGAAAGCGAGCTGAGACAGGCAAGCAATGGTAGATACATTCCCCGTGAATGTCAGACAGTTGCGGTGCAGTCATGTTCCAGGATGCGAAGTGTGCTTGCGACATCCGGGGGCTTGCGGTAAGCTCGATCTCACTGCCAGGGATTCGTTTGGCGACCTTGTGCCATACAGAGGAGTGTGATACGTGACGGACATCGCCCCTCGGCCATGGAGGGTTGTGGCATGAGACGCTCTCTTCCGCAGGCTGGGTACGGCCGTTGCGTGTGATACGGGTCTTCTGGCGGGTGTAGCATGGGCCAGCGCTTTGTCCTTGTTCTGGTTCCCAGTGTCTGTCCATCGGGTGGTGAGCTTCGCTGCCCCTGCTGAGTCCAGGGATGGTGTGTGTTGGACCCAGGGCGAGAGAAGAGGTGCAATAGGTCAGCAGTCGTGCAACATGTCTGGACACGTTTGTTCAGGACCTGGGGACACTGAGGGGAGGTCGGATGGGGAATCGACCAGGCATGCGCAGTTCGTGAACGATGAGAGGTAGGTCAATTGCCACCGAAGAAAGGTGATTCGATTGCTTCGCTCATTCCGTTGGCCCATCTTGCATCATTGGTGATATATGTTTGTGTGTTCGTGACGAGCGAAAAGGAGAAGGAGTACGAGAACGCAGGGGGGCGAGGATTGAGGCTCTTGACGCAGAGGGGTGAGAAGGAGGAGAGGGAAGGAAGAAGGAAGGGTTGGTGAGACGATAGGAGGACTCCCGGTGGCCTCTTGGTGGTACTTCTGGGACTTACTATGGCGTCACGGGGGCCTCTTGGGGGCCTCTTGGGGGTCTCTTGGGCGTCTCGGGGGCCTCTTGGGGGCTTCTTGAGGCCTCCAGGGGACCTCTCTGCGCCTAAAGCTCGAAATGTCCGTTCGGGTCCCCCGTCTGGGCCCGCTCTAAGAGCGACCCATCTTGGGAGCCTCTTCGGCCATCTTGGAGGCCTCTGGGGCTGTCTCGGGGCCCTCTGGAGCCGTTTTGGGCGCTCTTGGAGGCCTCTTGGGCCGTGTTGGGGCGATCCTGGAAGCCTCTTTGGCTGTCTTGGAGCGCCGGTAAGCCGAAAAGGCGAGAACACCAAAAACCTTTCAACATTGAAGGACAATCACTAATTTCCGCCTCTGTGGGCCCTCTTGGGAGGTCTCCTGGAGGCCTCTTGGGGCGTCTTAAAGGCGCTTTGTGCTGTCTTGAGGCCGTCTTTGGCGTCTTGGATCGCTCTTGGACCGCCTCGGACCATGTTGAGCTCTCTTGGAGGCCACCTGGAGCGCTCCTGGAGCGCTCTTGGGAGTCTGATGGGACCTGCCGGGGATCTCGCCGGGACTTGCCTGGGACCTTGTTGGGACCTGCCCGGGACCTGCCCGGCACTTTGCTGTGGTATTTTTCGTCTAGGAACCCCCAGGGTCGACCCCGCGCGC